CGACGGACACATGGAAGCTGACACAGCAGAGAGAGGAAGATGGTGAAGCAGAAGATAAACCAGTCCAAGGATGAACAACGAGAAGAGGAACTGAGTACAACTTATAAAACACTACACTGGACAAAGAAGTGAAGAAGAGTGCGCGGAAAGACGAAAGATACTTCTACAACACACTTTCAATTGAAGCAGAACAGGCTGCAGGTAGGAGAGGCCTGACAACACTATATAAAATAACCAGGTTACTTACTATCTAGGAAGAGATCAACGCAGACGAGAGCGATGAAAGATAGTGAAGGAAAGCTAGCTACCAAAAAGGAGGAAAAAAAGAAAACAGTGAGCTAACCACTTCGAAAAATCTTGAATCGACCACCACCATCAACTATAACTGGTCCAGAAATACTACCAGCAGCCACAGAATTACCGGTAAACACAAGCCCGCTGACAAAAGCAGAAGTGAAGTCCTGAACCTCATAAAGTTGCTGAAGTCCGGGAAAGCAGCAGGACTAGGTGGAATTCCTCTAGAAGCACAGAAAACAGACGCAGAGACAACAGCGGACATGCTCACACCCCTTCTGTAGAAAGTTTGGAAGGAAGGAAGGAAAGGTATCTACAGGTTGGAAGAGGGGCTACCTTGTCAAAATCCGAAATAAGGGAGACCTAAGTCTTTGCAAGAACTGGAGTTCGATGCAAAATAACACGTATGGATCTTTCTGAAACCAATTCTCAGTGAACACTTGGACTACCTACAACTATGCAAACCAAACAGGCTAACTGATATTTTAAGATGCTGTAAATTGAATAAATAAATCCTTGCGTAGGTCAGGGAAGATGCTTGTTGAATAAATTTGAAGGTGCATACATTCCTTCCAGAATTCCCTAAACTTAGCAAATTTGAACGTTTATACTTTGAACACCTTGTTTAATCGTTATCTGTCAACTCACGAATCAAGTTCAAGCATGTTTAGGTATGCAAAAGTGCTCTGTGAAGGATGCAATCAAGTGTCCAGTTCTCATTGGAACTGAATGGTTCACACAATGACTAAATCCATCTTTCTTTCTGTACAAAAGATGAACAGCTCAGTGGTAACATCACCAATGGTGAAAGTGAATAAATTACAGACTTGATCGATCAACAGCAATCAGGACATAAGACTGAGAAAGTATCATTACTACTTATTCTCCCGTTCACTCTACTGATATACAACGACCATATCTGAAGCACTTATCATTTACATTCAAGAGGACTATTATTCAGCGTGAATGTTGTTTATAAGCTCGCCTAATTTACTAACCGGTCCTAAGCCCAGATAAAAAAGGTGTGGAAGGAAGGAAGGATACCTGCCCACTGATTGGAAGAAGGGCTACCTTGTCAAACTCGCAAAGAAGGGAGACCTAAGTCTTTACAACAACTGGCGCGGAATCATGCTGCTGTCCACCCCAGGCAAAATATTATGCCGCATCATCCTGGAGAGACTAAAAGATGCACTGCATTCAAAATTACTACCGGAACAGGCTAGCTGGCTGGATTCAGGAAGTATAAATCACGTGCGGACCAAAGTGCAACGCTACACATCATCATAGAACAACAGAGCGTAGAATACCAGTCAGTCAACTCTCTACGTCAACTTCATCGACTCTGAAAAGGCCTTCGACAGCGTCGACCGTGAATTAATTCGCCAGGCAGCTGCTTGCTTCAACACTATGCTTTTAGTGCCACAAACCTTTATCAACCTCATTCAACAGTTATATGCTATGCTATATGATGAGGCTACATGCCAAGTGATTCACAGTGGAAAGCTCAGTGACGCCTTTGTAGTGAAGACAGGGGTAAGACAAGGCTGCCTACTATGATCGATCATCTTCCTGATTGTGGTCAACTGGATCATTCAGGAAACAGTGAGGTGCTTGAAGATGGGCACACTCTGACTGGACCGATGAAAAGACCCTAGAGATTTGGACTTCGTCGATGGTGATGTATGTTTATGTGTCACACAAACTCGAATATCTACAGGCAAAAACTAACAAATTGACAGAAGAAACGAGGTGGCGAAAACGGAACTTCAGGTGAACGTAGAGAGGACGAAGGTGATGAAGGTACCCAACCAAAAACAACAACAAGCACCAATCACCATCAATGGGAGAAACCTAAAGGAGGTTGTCTTTTTCACCTACCTAAGCAACATCCTTTTGACTACAGGCGGCGACGGCACAGACGATGATGTCAAAACCAGCATCGGAAAGACAGCAAGATAGGAAGCCTTCATTAATCTAAAACTAGTGTGGAGATCGACTGTACTGAGCATAAAGCGTGAACAAGATCCGGATTTCCAACACTGATTCAGTCGAATAAGTCAGTGCTTCTATGTGATGGTTGAGAGACTTTGCGCGTCACAAAAAGCACTCCCAACAAACTTCACACATTCATCAACAGCTGCTACCTACGCTTAATCAATACTAATGATTAGATGGCCAGAAAGAATAAGCAACAAGGAACTCTGGGAACGAACCTACCAAGAACCTATCACCCAACAAATATGCAGAAGACAGTGTAGATGGATTTGATTGAGCATTCACTGAGAAGATCATTTGGGGACATCACGTGCTAGGCCAGGTTGTCGAGTGGAATCCAAAGGGAAAACGACGAGTTGGGCGACTGTGGCTAGGGTGAGATGGAGATCATGTGAGGAAGAAATGAAAGCTTGTGGGCAGTGGTGGAGTCAGGTTGAAAAGACTGCAGAGAAGAGAGTGAAATGGCGACATGCTCCTGAAGCCCTGTTTTCCACTAGGAACCCAGGGAACAAATAAAATAACAATATGTAATAGACTGGCGTCAGTTGGGAAACCACTGGAAACCTAGGACCACAGTATTGTTGCTTCCTCCTAGTTGGGATTCCTCAGCCACGCACACCCACAACTTCATTAGGTATCGAACTCTGACTATCCAGGTTAAACGAGGTATATGCTGACCATTCAGTCACTGAGTCACAGTTCAATAGTACACAATTTCCTGTTTCTGTCAATACATGATATATTGCAAGTATACACCAAGGTCTACGGTTAGTATCCACTTCACTTTCGACCACATTGATCATGGCTTCTCGTTAGAGCTTCAAGAAATATCCTTATTATTCTCAAAAATAAAATCTCCATAAACTTTAGACTTTATTTAGTTATCACATTATGGCATTCACAGCTGTTTAAAGGATAATTTTCTCAATACAAACAATTGAATGTGGAAAATGTTTAACTCCTGTTATGAATATCGAACAAGCATCGAGTATAAGAAGAGCAGAGTTAACTGTGTTTATGAAATCCCAGTAGGGCTTTCCAACTGAATCCTCCTGATAAATTATAATTCGTGTAAAATTGCGGAATTAACTGAAGCATATCAATCTCCTTGAATCATGGACTACCAAAAATTTGCCGTCGAATACACTGCATCGAATTGCTCTCCTTCAACTAGGTTTATTCTTTGAAATTCATCTTTAAATCATAAAATATGCTTTCATTTTATTTTGAACTTCTCGGTCGAATGTACCTGCACCCCAGTTAATGATGTTCCCACTGGGATTCGAAGCCAGTACCCATCGCTTCAAACGTCAAATCGTTATCCACTAGACTATTACACCTCTGCCAGTAGGGGCAGAGCAATTTGACCCTGTGTAGCAACAAGGAATTGCAAGTATCAACAAACAACAACTGATACCCATTGCACAAGATATAGATCTTATGCACCAACTGTCCTAATGGATACGGCTCTTGGGTTTGAAGCGATGGGTACTGGGTTCAATAAGAATAACATCACTGACTGGGATGCAGGTATATCTAGTTGACTTGTCCTAAGTAGAACAAAAGGTGCGCTGTGGATTTTAATACTAGTCACCAGGATGAATAAAATATCCAACTTATCTGCTTTCAGTTAGATGATGTAACGCCGCTAAAATCATTCACCTCCCTGGGAATCTTCTCCATCACCTAACATTTTTCGTCAAATTTCTGAATAGGATATATCTAAGTAGGAGATGACAAGCAATAGTTACATCTATATTTCATTTAATTTCTTATCAAACTCGAACAAAACATCTTGGTGTGGCTTTTCATCAAGTCACCACTATCTTAGCTATTTCAGTGTACTTTGATTCATCACATAGAATAAACTGTTACACTGTGTAGTCTCTAGCGCTGATCGAATTATATGAATCATTTTATTATATGGTCACCAGGCTAAAAGACAGAACATTACAATGCACTTTAACCAATGTTAGGTGGTTGAAAGGCAATTGACAGAAGGCTTCCTTGCTTCCTAGCACCAGTCAGCAAGACACATCTTCAACCTCAAGGCAAGTGATATCCTTCCTGAAACTAGAACCCAACGATGCAGTTGGAGATGTTGCCACTGAGCTATTTAGACCACGATTGATTACCTATATGACTGAATTAGATCACTGAAGAGTCACTAACTTTGTATTGTCTAGTTCTAGCTGCCGACTAAATCTGACTGGTCACTTTGTAATTCAGCCATAAAACAAGGAGGCTGAGGATAACGGTGCACTCTGATTAGTGTTAAGGTGTTGATTAATTAGTCTGCTATGTTCGATTATGATACCACAGTTGGTAGATCAGAAATTTCTGATAAACGTTGATGAACTGTTGAATAAGATGTCTTATTCTGCCATTTTAACTATTACTGTCAGAAAACAATCTCAGTAAGAATATATGCACTCTATTTGCAGGATGAATTTAATCATTCGCTAAAAAGAAGAAAAAACTAGATATAGTGTTTCTGTCGAAACAATGCTGCTTAAAACATTAAACAAATTATTTTCAATGGAGAAAATACTTTCTTTGTTTTAATCGTCACCTTATTCATCTCTGTTGGTATTGTATTACAAACTCTTTATATTACTTCAATTGGTAAAATTAGTTAATGTCCACTGATTTAGTTAATCAAGTTAATTCCTTTGTTATTTATTTATTTATTTACTAATAATTTACTATAGGCGTTATTCGATCGTTGGTGAGATTTAATAATCGTACAGATTCAGTGTATGAATTCAATGTCACCGGATTTGATTGTCATCTCCCAGTACCGTACAGTTCTTCAGTATCGGTTACAGTTTATGTGAAATCTCTGTGTACATCTCAATGGAATGGTAAGTAAAATTGATTTATGAAAACCGTACTGCTGATAAATAAGACTATCCTGAGGTGAACATGGGCTAATTAGGTCTACCAGACTACATCGTGGAGAACACTTGAATAACCTGTAGCACCCAGATGACAATGTCCTGTTAAGTGAAGATGTTCACAAAATAGTCACTTCTGAACTTGAGTAGAAATCTGAGTGTGCTTGGCATACTCTTCATACCTGTCAAACGTAAGATGGATACTGCAAGAAAAAAATGCATGGACTCTTGGTTTATGGGTAGGACGTTAAGTGGTATACTGCCTTGACCATTTCACTTATTTGGGAATTTACATCAGCCTAAGTTCTTTTATTGCTGATGAAATCTCAGCTTTTATATCGAAGGCCCGTTTGGTACATAATGACTAATTTACCTCTGCCGTTGGCGAGATATTCGACAATCTATTAAAAAGAAGTATATTAAAATGAAATACTCTCTGTCTTACCATACAGTTGTAAGACATAGCTATTGGAAGTATGAGACCTAAGGTTCTTACACGTTTCTGAACATAAATACCTTCCTAGCATTGTTGATCTCTCCGTCTATCGTAGCGCATATGACAGAAAAACAGATCAGTAAGCCGAAGGTCGTTGATTATAGTCCTATCGCAATCAAAGTGCTCTTTCAGCCTTCATCCACTCGCTGGTTACAAAGTAGGAAATTTTCATAGACATTTCTAGTCAAGATTTTCAACTCATGATCAAGAAATCTAACAGCGTTCATCCAAAAGTAGTGGTACTGCTAGAAGCTTACTCATGTTTCACACTCCTTCTCATGTTATGTAGAAATACTTTACCATCAGATCACTAAAAATTAAATAAAATTACTTTCAGTAGCTTTGCCATATTGAAAGTGAAACTGTAGCACACCCAGCCTAAATCTTCTTGTGATTGGTTAAACATAATTTTGCTGCCTTCATTAGGTGAGTCAATTTTTTTCAAGCCCTCATCTTAAAACTCTTTACTACCGTTAACATCTAGGTGTAGTCATAAGTATAAATTCGTTTTTTCAAATAACACTTGATTGTCTTGGTTTTACTTTCCTCACATCAAACTACAAGATATAGTACTGGGTGATAGTTGAAGGTGAGATGAAAATCTAGACCGTGGCCGGATTTGAACCAGCGACCACCGGGTTCGAATCCGGCCGTGGTCCAGATTTTCACCCCACCTTCAATCATCACCCAGTTCAAATACTAGTCCGCCAAACTACGGCTATCTTAGATAGTCAAATCATAGTACAAGATATAGAGAAATTTAAAGGAACAATTTTGAACGTTCCATTCAAAGATGAGTTCAAAGATAAAAAGACGAAAAATAAAGAGAAAAAGAATTAATTCAATTTATGGGAATATATTTATTGATCTTAGGTTGGAATTCACCATGAACTGACATTAATTGACGAACCATTGGAAACTTTAGAGCACTGGCTATCAGTTTCTTCCTCTTATAGGACCTGAGAATAATAAATAAATCCTCACAAACCTCAAGATTGAATGATTGCAGTTCTCATTAGTGACTTGCTTTGAGATGAAATTTCCAAAGTCCTGATGAAAAGTCGTGACCAGAGGTGCTGACCGAATCAGCCATGAGAACAGTTGCTCAACGACGGTATTGAATACAAGTCGCGCTATATCATAAATTGACAGAAATGGCCCAATCATGACTTGCTGATGCGGAACCTGAAGGTCCTGGGTTCGATCCCTGATGGGGTCATGGGTACACACTGCTGAAGAGTCCCATACTAGGAAGAAAAACTTGTCCAATGCTCCCAAGTTTCTAGTTGTTCTCCAATGGATGTCATGACGTGATGAATACCAGTCTGAGATCAAAAAAGAAATTAGTCATTCAACGATGTGATAGCATGTTTTCTCTGTCATTGTGTGGAATACTTCGGCTGATTGCAACCACGAAGTTGTAATTTTAAATTATTTATCTGTTTGTGCATGTATGGTACATCTGAACATTCATTCACCTATTCACAACTTCTTAAAAGGAATGAATATAGAAACATCTTAAAGTTGAAAACTGTTTATGACAACAATAAAATAGTTTGGTAGATCAAAGTGAATGCTTCGAATTTTGCAAGTTTTATAGGTATTATTTATTGGTAGTTAAAGTTAAGAGCCTGTAATAATAAAAGAGGACGCAATCAGAATTGCAACAAATCAATCCATTTCAGTCTGTAGATATGATGTTGTCATATGTTTTCAAATTTGTGAATTCCTAATGATACATTTTATCAGACTGTTTGTTACGAGTTAGAGTCCTAATAGGAATAACATCACTCATTAGGAAGTAGGCACATCCAACTGATAAGTCCCAAATAACACGAAATCCGGGCCATGGATTCCATCCACTGCTAGCCATTACCCATCAGTAATATCAAAATTATTGTCTATTATTTATAAAGGCAGGTAAATAGAAAAACTTGGGTCATACGTTTAACAAAGCGATGTCATAATTTGAGGAATTACTAAAATTTTGCACGAGTTGTGCAGATTTGGAAATATTTCAAGTTGTTATTCATCATAGATTGACATCATTTGGAGGAATAAAGGAAACCTGGGAGCACTGGACAGCTGTTTCATCCTAGTATGGGACTCCTCAGCAGTGCGCACCCACTACCCCGCCAGTGATCGAACCCGCGACCTTCAGGTTCCGTGGCCAGCATATGAGCTAACAGAAGTTGGAAATATGGACCACTGGATTCTGACTTATTGGCTCAATGGTAACGTGCTGACCACTGAACCTGAAAGTCGCGGGTTCGATCTCTGGAGGGGTCATGGGTGAACACTTCTGAGGAGTCCCATACCAGGACGAAACAGCTGTTCAGTGCTCCCAGGTTTCCTTTGTTCCTCCAACTGATGTCAATCTACGATGAATAACAACTTGAATTACTAGAATACAATATCTGTATTCAGTCGAAATGAACTTTCCTGAAGAGAAGAGAAGCAAAGTTTATTGATATTTTTATTCACATCTCTAATTTTTCATAACCTGATAGTTTCCTGTTGTTAATCTACAATTCTAAAATAACACTTAATTTTTACTTAACTCATTTAACGTGTTATTCAGTGAAAACATTCAATGTGTATACCAACGCTTCTTTAATCTTTTCATTCACACACAGTCAATTCAAATTCAACATAACTATTAAAAAATCTTTAGGTTCACCATAATTTTTTACCTTTAAACAACTAAATTACAGTAGTATGTTTAAGGCGCTCTGAGTGACTTTTAAAATCTATCCTAAAAGTTATATACCCTACTGTTGGACAGTTCTAACAGTCAAAGGAAAGGGAAAGAGGACTTTTATTCTCTTCTTTTAATTCATTTACTAGCCATGTATACAAAGTAAATTTTTACAAAGATACAATATGTTCACTTCTACTTCTACTCTTACTTAATTTACTGTCTGCAAGTTACACTTAATAATTAGTCATTTTACAAAGGAATTATTGTTAATATTGTGTTTCTGAGTGACATTTTCCCAATGAACCATAAACTTTTTTTTCTCCATAGTTGTTACCTAATAAAATGCAGTTTGAGTTTAGATGTTTGTTATTGGTATGCGTGTAATTTGGGATAGAGAGGAGAATATTAAGATTTTTGAAACTCAAGAAGCGTATAATCTGTCCCTTTTCTCCCTAATAGACAAATAATATAAAAGTAACAAGTTTTCTCTTAACCTCATTTACTTCCGATGGCAATGAAATTCATAGTGTCTAGTTGTATTGTTTTCCTCCTAACTGTTTATAAATACCCATGTACAAGTGTATATAATTGATCTATCTGCTTTCTAACCTTGTGTCCCCATAGACTGCTCACGTTTTCCTTGAAGAGCTTTATAGCACATAGATACACATATTTGCATTCTCTGACTTTCTCTTCATAGATCTCCTGTGACGACCTTCTCAAAGCGTTAAGATTATATTTTAAAAAGCAATCAGCTTTAATTGACATTAGTAGTTTATTTTTTAAGAAAAAGAAAAAAAATTGTAATTTGAAGCTATAACATTTCAATTGAACAGTGAATTTTAGAGAACAAGATAAAAAAATAAACGATATACATATACCCAATGTCTACCCACTTTCTCTTCGTTGCATAAAAAAGCTATCTAAATGGATGAATAGATAAACAAGTAGACTATCATTGTTCTGTATACCATTTGTCAGGTATGCATAATACTCCTGTACATTGGGGTGAGGCTTTTGATATGTGCAACAGTGAGTTTTAAACTTCTAACCTAGGCCTTTTAAAATGATTCCCATTGTGAGAATAAGGCCATCAAGATATCATAACTTCATTATTCAACACTCTTAGTGATTTAGCTCAAACCTCATTATGGTGGTTTACATATGTTCGTCTTCTTTTACACTTCTATCTCTTTGTTGTTCCACCCCTCCACCCCCCTTTCCACAGCTTCAGAATTTTCTGTCTCTCAATGTGTATAGATTTCCACTGATGTATACTAATATTTGTAACTATTAAGCCCATGTTTCCTCAACTCACTACCTTATTGTTAATCCTGGATTTCGAACCTTCACTTATTTTTTCATGTATAAAGTATGTTACGTCATTTTTACTGCTAATATATCAATTCAATCATAGACTGCTTACAGCTGATGAAAACCCGTGAAATAAAAAGAACTCATTTTATCCTGCAAATTTATTTCTTCTTCCATTATTCCAAGGGAAATTACCAATAGAGACGTGAAATTAAGTCAGTAAACTGTATAACGACGTTGATTTCGATTGCGCTAGAAACTGCATACAAGGAATAACATCGTGTCAGACAACAATGTAAAGGTTATGCAAAGCTTACTAGACAGTAAAGGTAACTCAGTCGATAAGGTTGTGAACCATGGGCTACTGAAATGGCTTGAACATGTATCTTCAATACCTAGCCACTCCCTACCTCGAAGTGCAATACTAGCAGAAGTTTAAGTTAGAAAAACTTACAGGGATCCCAGATCAAGATATATAACACCAGTCTATGAAGTCCCTGACCGTTGATATGAATCATGTAGAGAGATATAGACTACTTGGATGAAGTCTCCAAAACGACAGGAATCAGTAGTTCGGGTCTCCTAATGATATGGTTGAAAATCAGTCACAATAATCCAGATGTATTCACTCTTCGACTTCACCTAAACCTTGAATATTTTGACTAACCTTCATTTTCAAATTGCCTCCTCTCGCATACATCTTTTTCTACTTTGATATCAGTCTCTTTCTATCCCCGTTTATTTTTTGCATGCTACTGTGAATTGTGGGAAATTGAACTGATTGACTTGTGTACAAAGTTCCACGTTAACTCCATTCAGGTAATCTGTCCGTCTAACATTTAATAAAAGAATAAAATGGAGTTGTATGCAACCCATTAAGAAGTAGGAATACGTAGTGAGTTATGCTGAATTTATTCATTACTACCTTTATCCTGTTAGTTAGTATAGTGTTCATTTTGGTTCAGTGTATGACCAGACCTTAGAATCTCAGCTACCATCACAATGTTCTTTTGTCCATGTAATCTCATGGTATTTATGTCTCAACATTTTCAGAACTACTTCAGTTCATAATTAAAACACGATATTTTTCTCATTTCTCTAATAACTTGTTTTTTTTTTTAACTCAGTAGTATACTTAATCTACAATTTCTGTTTTTATCATGTAATTAATTTTCATTGATTTAGGTATTCCAAAAGAAATAGCTTATCCAGCTTTATCTAATCCATACTTGATTGCTGTAAATGCCAAGTTTTCGATTTGTCCGCAGAGAAACACTTACGATATTGACAACATTCATGAGTATAATGATGAAGATAATGATAGTATAACTATTACAGAATATGATTACTGTCCAATCGAACAAGTAACGATACGTATGAAAATCTTATGGAGTAAAGAAGATATTATTGTTGGTGATGAAAATACACCAACTTCTTCACCATCCTCATCACTTTCATTATCCTCTCAATGTGATTTAGATTATTATTCAATGCTAGCTAATCGTAAAACGTGTAGTAAGTTATTCTTTCTCCCTTTTTGTTACTTATAAATAGTTTTTTTTTTCATTAAAAAGTTGATTAATTTTGAAACTGGTTTCCATTATGATCCAGTATTTCATGAAACTATTATTTTTAACATAAATTTGTATATCATGAAAGAAAGCAAAATTCTTGCATAGAAAATCAGAAAAATACAAAATACTTTGTCTAGAAGTAATAAGCACTAGAGTTTTCAGGTCTAAACAAATTTGTAAAATGATGTGCTGATATTTAACCAATAACCGTTAATTCGGCTACCTAAGTTGTTGTCGAGGAAAATGAACATAAAAAGTAGATTGATGTTGAGTAAACTTACTTCAGTTGTCAGTTGTCTTCATACTTGCTCATTTTGATTTTTTCGCAAGGTATTTCCTGCATTGTACAGCTTTCAACCAGTTGTTGGATATCATACTTAATACCCTAACTATATGACTGATAAAATCAAAGTAGAACCTCAAACACAAGTGCATTGATTCAAATTGCCAAACTTTACAGTACTACACAAAGAACAGAAAGATAGGAAAAAGGATGATATCAAAGTAGACAAAGTTGTGTAAGAGTAGATACGATCTAAAGATAAAGATAAGTGCGAATATTCAAGCTTTAGAAGACGTTAAAGAGTGAATACATCTGCTACATTGTGACTTATTTTTAGTCATATCACCAAGTGTTCTCAACCACCGATTCCTGCCGTCTCGTGAACCCCAGTCAAATAGTCTACATCTCCTCGCAGCACTCTAACCAATATTAAGAGAAATTGTCACTGCTAAAAACGTGTAACTTCACAACTTGGGATCTGAGTTATTTAGTACACAGTATGCTAAAAAAAAGTGATCCTGAAGTCTTGAAAGTTTTTCCAGCATTTCAATTGTTTAATACACCTCCTCAAAGTCAATTATCCGATGGTTTGTTGATGTAAAACATTTAAAAGTTGTCTCTTCCTTTGAAACGTCAACAGTGAAAGCTTTTCTGAATAAATTCCATAGTGGTTTGAGTTTCATTATATTCTTCTTCATCCCACTATGGTTTCATAATTATAAAGACCATCAAGTTGTTGTGATTATGAACTCAGATACTTGAACTGTCATAAGTGATCACAACTAGTGTCAAACATTAATAAAGGATATTTAAAAATAAAGTTATAGGATGAATAGAGAGAAATTTCTTTACTTAAATAGAGTAGCATTACGGTAGCCATAAGAAATTTGCATAGAATCCTCCTACACTTCATGCATGAGAACTTATAATGCTATACGGTTGTCAAACCTGAAGTCACTGAAAAGGAGTTGAAATTCATAACTTACTACTTCAAAGTCGAATTGATGAACCGAAGAGGAAAACCTCCTCAGCTATAGTCACAGATATCTCAAACAATAAGGATCACAATCAAATAAATGCTTGTCCCCGAAGAATTATTACATTTTTACTAATATAACTTTTTTTCTACTATTATCATGTTCTATTTCCCCGGATTTTCGTGAGATACTCAAAGCTTATACTGTAAAATAATTCTGTTTTTAGTCATAATGTTCTACCTTACACCAATCAAATATTCAGACATTACATATAAATTTAAAAGCTCAACCCATAAATCACTTTCATCCATAAAGTATTAAGCAACAATACTTAAGGGTGTATATTTGTATATTAATATACTTTTGTAGTTAGTTCTTCTCAGCATGTCTCCATTGACTTATTGCCGGATATCGAACAACAACTACAACATCATCTAAAGGAAATTGACATCATGAATATGCCAACTATTGAGAAAATTAATGGATTAGACCAAATCCCAAAAATAAATCATAAAGATTATCCATCAGGTATTTATTATTTCAATGGTTCAACTCAACTGGATTTAAACAAACTTTCAATTTTCAATAAAATGAAAAGATTTGATAATAATTCATTTACAATTAACTTTTGGATGAAACATACGCTAACATTTAATCGACGATATGAAGAAAATTTATCGAATGGACGAGAGAACATACTATGCAGTGCAGATGAGTATGGTGAGTGCCATTTTGAATAATGGTAAAACGAATATGCTAGCAAACGAACAGCAGTAAACATCTAATAATCTTGTTTTGTATTTGTAATTTCCCATTGCTAGACTGGGTCGAATTGTTCGACGTATGATAGCAGATAGGCCCCTATGCAAATGCCTCGATACTGATTGTACCTTAGTGTCCCAATGGATAGTGCTTTGGCGGTTGAAGTCATGGGTACTGGGTTCTTGTCACACTGGGAACAACACCATCACCCGTTCCGGTGCACGTAAATTCAGCTGACGAGACCCAAATAAGATGAAATACGCATCCTGGATTCCACTGCTAGCCACCAAGCCAACTATAATCCAATAATCGTTGTCTGTTGCATTGTATACCTAAAGAATAAATATTTAATAAGTCAGTGAAATGATTTCACTTTCACAATTATTCATGCCAATCATTTTTATCAAACAGTACTCAGTAATAATGTGATGTGTATTCCTCTCTGATACCTATTCCCATTATGCCAGTTTAAAGTTACTATCGATAAATGTTTTAAAATCCATCCGTTTGTTGTTAAACGGTCCATCTTCTATGAAGCAGCTCAAGTTTTCATATCAGACGGTAGTTAGATGACATATATTAGAGAAGTTGACCAATTCTTCTTCTTAACTGACCACACTACTCTGATAATGTTGACGTCGATTAGTTTACTTTTGATAATTATATCTCAACTGAATTACTTAGAAATATTGAGCTAGAATGATTTTTATAGAATGATAATTTGTTCAATGAACAAGGAAGGTTTTCATTATGTGCAGAACAAACTAACAGATTTATCGCCCCTTATCCGTGCTTATTATTGATAGGTTGTTTTATACTGTTATGTTGAAATTGTGTTATATCATGTCTCGCGCATACCAGTGACAAACATGCTTTTTCTGTCAATGTTTAACAAACGGCAAGTAAGATATAGAAACAGTCATCGTATTTCTGACAATGATTCATTCGTTGTATAGGCTGAATGGTATTCACTGAATACGTTTGAACCAATAGGTTTGTAGATAAACTGCACGTTTATTAGTTGATTAAGAACCTACCGATGAAATACAGATCACGGTTATGAAGTAATCAGTATTGCAAATAATCATCAAATACAATGAGTAAAAGACGGATAGATAAATAGATCATCGCGAAATTCTATAAGACAGCATACACGGGGGATAGACAGGCGGAATCGACGTGAAACTTCGCACACAAGTCAATCAGTTCAATTTCCCACAATTCACAGTAGCATGCAAAAAATAAACGGGGGATAGAAAGAGACTGATATCAAAGTAGAAAAAGATGTATGCGAGAGGAGGCAATTTGAAAATGAAGGTTAGTCAAAATATTCAAGGTTTAGGTGAAGTCGAAGAGTGAATACATCTGGATTATTGTGACTGATTTTCAACCATATCATTAGGAGACCCGAACTACTGATTCCTGTCGTTTTGGAGACTTCATCCAAGTAGTCTATATCTCTCTACATGATTCATATCAACGGTCAGGGACTTCATAGACTGGTGTTATATATCTTGATCTGGGATCCCTGTAAGTTTTTCTAACTTAAACTTCTGCTAGTATTACACTTCGAGACAGGCGATGGCTAGGCATACGCAAGAATTTTCCAAATCATCTCAATATCTGAATGTTCACAAGCTTTAACTATCCTTGCCTAGTACTCTTCAACTGCAAAGAGGAAGGGAATCGTAAAATAATCGTATTGAAGTAGACAGAAATGTTTTCAGAAGATTCAGATTTTCTAGTTTATAGACAAATGTTAACTTTCAGAAGTAAACTGTAGCAAAGGATTTTCTTGTAGAAAAATGTTTATTACTGTATTCTAAACATTGCATCGTTTTATAATTCATTATCACTATACTTCTATTTTTGGCTGTTTACAGAAAAGAATCGACATCATTTTGCGATATTTCTACATAACTGTAAACTTGTTGTATTAATTCGAAGAGAACCAACCAATGCATCTATGTCAGATTCAACACAGTTACTTCCTCTCAATGGCGCTTTGATGTTGATGAAGTTTGTGACTCTAGTTGGCATCATTATTCAATAACATATCATCCTCCGGAGCATAAGCCTACTTTATCTGAGTGGGATAAAGATATTGAGGTTAGTATAATCAAACATTCAAGCTTTTCAATTTAAATTTATTGTCTCGTTAGCACAAAACTAACAAGCACTTGCTTGTGAACAAATAAAGGGTTAAAACTAGATATCTCTACAAAAATGCATCATTTCAAGTGGGTACATGCCAAAATAGCACATAAATATGGTAGACAAATTATAACTTTTAAGTAGACAAAGTTATATGAGAAAACAGAGAAAAAATGGTGAACGTTAATCAAAATATTCAATATTTGACAAGGATAAAGAGTAAGCGCATCTGAGTTAACATGATGAATTTTGAGCTATATCGTCAAGAGTCTCCAACTATTGATTGCCTCGTACTCAAACACTTCTGTATGCGATTAAAACCAATAGTAAATGAATTCATTATATTGTTTGTTGTGTGTTGTATTGAATTTCAGTCTACCTTTCTTTGGTTTTATTCCCACTTTGGCTAACAGCGTACATTAAAGTAAACGGTAGCTTGTCGTTAAAAGTATAATCAAGTCTTCTAAATTCATGGTTCACAACTTGTATTCTAGGCGACTTTAAAGGCCACTATAGCAACGATTGTAACAAGCAATAAGGTTTCTTCATTTCCTTTGGAAAGGCAGATTTTCATTGGATAGGTGTGGGTGTTGGTTGATTCGATGAACAAAGATTCAGCAATCACTCCCCCTCTCCACCTAATTATATTGAACTTGAGTACAGGGTTTTATTCCCACCCTATTGTGGGATTGTGCTTTAATGTATGCATTGCAATAGACGGGATTTTTTCTAGATTATTAATCTTAATGGGATCTGTCATTCTATATTTATCTACATTTCTAAGTTACTGAAAATACCTATCAGGATAATAAAGAAAACGAGAATTTCAGCGAAGATATTTTTCTCGGCGAATTCATTGTCCATACCTGTACAGTGGTGATTTGTACATTTTGTTTAACTACATGGGATAGTTACAATCAATATTTAATTAAACCTGGTAACAAAAATCTAGTTGAATAAAGATTAAAAATTCACAGATATGATGCAAGATAAAAATTAATCAAAGTGGAACATATGAGCTAACATAGTTAACAGGATAGGACATTAAATTGCATAATATGTGAAAAAATTTCGAAATCAAGGGTAGCATTGAAACAACATGATAATACTGAATTATTAAAGTATATCATAAAATGTAACAAATTGAGAATAATTAGAGAGAAATAGAGGTCGATATATATTATTAGCAACCAAATAAGTCCAAGGTAGTAACAAAGGTTGTACAAGTTTTTTGTGCAGATAATTCTAGTTTCACCATGCATATAGCAAGAGCTTCTACAGTACAGAGATGGAAATGAACTTATGGCTACCTACTTTCTTCTTTATTGCTCTATGGTTCATCATTTTACCTTCTACGTTGATGTGGTCATGTGGAGTATGACAGCTTGGATCAACCAATAAGAAAAATAATAAACGACAGAAAGGTCAGAGGTCAAACATAGGAACAGCCAACAGGAAAATTTATACAATTAATGACACAACAATAGAAGGAAACAACCAATCACAGACCACATCGTCAGAGCAAGCCACTAACTCCCTCACAAAGAGATATTGACAGCTCACTTCATACTGAAGTTAGCACTCATGATGTCGTCCAGAAAGACGATGAAAGCTTCACGATTAAAGAACCCAGCTCAGAGAATACAATACAACCAAGACAGCTTGGATCGTTAGGCTTTGTTGTTAGGTTTCACAACTTATGGTGTCGTATTTTGACCACCTCGATCCAGTTAATTAGCGCTTGTTACCGATATGAGTGATTTACGATAAATAATATATTGCACGCTTTTTCTGCTCATTATCTTCACATCATTATTGGTCTTCAACGAATGATTATTGATGAGCTGAATACTTTCAGCATCGAAGGAAACGATGGTTGGTCATTGCTACAGAATTGCTATTACTTGTGTCTCTACACCCAGTAATATGAGTTTAGCAAACACTTGCAGTGATCTTGGAAGCCTTTTTGTTTTCTTTTCCAGCCCCTGCATTACAGCATCAAAATTGTGGATAGAATTACTATTTGATCTGGTAAGACAAAACGCCGATACTTCTCAGATTCGCTAGACACAACTAATATTCACATATAACGATTTACTTACATTACTTCCCTCAATATATGGTTTTTTCTTAGTTTTTTAAGCTTAAAATGTAATAACTAAAAAACATTTTTTACCGAAAAATATATTGTCAATAGTACAATTTATGCCATATTACGTGATTTTCACCTTTATACATATTATTAGTTACAATTATATGTGGATGGACAATTGGTTCCAAACAATCCAGAATTGGTACAAGTTGCTGAAAATATGCCTATGATACATTTATCATCTAGAAATCATGAATTTGTACGTACTTCAGTCGGTGCATGTTGGCATGGACGTAGTTTGCAGTTCACTCAACATTTTGTGGTAAATAGTTTTACAGATTTGTGTAATCACTAGTTGATTTAGCGTAGTGAAATAAGTCAATTTTAATGATTGTAAGTCCTAATGACTATTAGCTACAAATTATGCAACTATGGATAAGCAAAAAAAATTTACTAATGATCACCTGCGTAGGTATTTGTCACTGATTTATCCCTTCTCTTTTCATAAACTTTTAAGTAGCCATTCAGTCCATTTCCTGTTTGCCTACTTCTACAGACTATGGTAATTTAAATTGACACATTCCAGTGCAATGTTCTGCTTCAATACACGTCTGAATGGTTTTCTAAGCTTCAACAGTATTGAGAATGGTTAAAAGTCAAAGGAAGCATTGTCCCACCCTGTCCCACTACCCTTCACACACACATATATACACACTGTTTTTATGCACACCATATTTTAGATACCATATTCCTATAAAGCTGTAAAACGGAATGCTGATATTCGCTGCTTAATGTTGATTGAATTATTTTTACAGAAAATTTTAAAGTTTGACTGCTGTTTCCCATATTTTAATCACCTAGTGTGAGATTTCCCGTCACTCCAATGAAAATTGTGGAACGAATTTTACGTCAATGTGCACTTAACTAAAGTGGGCTTTATACACAATGGATAAACCATATCAGTCTCAAACCTTGACTAAATGAATATTAGTGACCAGTAACTGAATTTCCTTGACACTATTCCACCCTCACTGTTACAAAGAAAATATACTGTCAAGATAGCCAACAAATAGATAAGGCTAAAAACTGGGCTGACTGAGTAGCCAATAAGGTTACGACTTCTAACCGTTATTTCAGTTCATGCTTGTAATCCTCAACCTTAGACTGAGACATTTTATCGTTAAGCAGTGTAGACGGTGACTTCTCACTATGCAGCTTTATCTATTTAGGAGAGTTTTTGCTAAACAGTTTCATTGCTTTTCACTTTCAAAATTATTACTAAGCTATATGCCGTTAGTTTACAGGTTGCTATGCTACTCAATATGTCTAAACGAAACAGACTTCCGGTTCTATTGGTTTCAGCCGAGAACATGAATGTAGGTTCATTAATACAAGCTTATCGATAATACCAGCAGATTAACACTGATATGAAGTGAACTGTACTCAACTCTTGACTATTATTCCGCATCTTTTATTTAAATTACAGTATGTACCAGTGTGTCACGAATTCGAGTCCAGTTCAACCCCCGAAGTTTGCGTAACCAAGTAGTATCATTAATACTAATACAAAAGGTGTAGGCCACTGCTTACTGCTATCATACACACAAGGTAGCTGAATGCGTTTCGTTTAGTATTCGTATTCCGATTAGGCTAGCTTTTTTATGTATCAGTCCTTTTATTTATTTATTCGGTTTTTATATGTACTATCCTCCATGACAATTGTTTCCTTTTAATTTCCACCATCGAAATACAGGGCTACCTTGCTGGTTTAACATTTAGTAACGGATATATCCAAAATGATGAAGAATTACGCTGTCTAACTAATTGTGAACCACGTCTGTTTATAAATGATCCAACATTTGGTTCAAAAACTGATCGTTTTGATACGACCAGTGTTCGTAATTCACATTTGAACAGTATTATCATTCAGGCAAAAAGTTTAAATGAACTGTCGAATATTTTACGCCAAGTAACGTTCTACAACCCAAGGCTACAATATAAACCAAGATATCGACCTGAACCTGTGGCATTCAACTGAACACAATGTTTGTGTAAGTTTTATAAAAAGTTTGATTCTATATTCAGTGCATTGAGTGTGTGTCTGACCTCAGGGAGTGATCTACTTCTTCGAGGTCATCTAGCTGTCACTAGAGTACACAGACAAAATTGTCTTGCAGATAAAGATGCTGAGAAAACTTAGGGTCTTCTGAATACGTTGAGTAGAATATCTGAGTATGTTTGACATACGATTCACATCTAATAGAAGCAAGATGACACTCGAGCACTAGGGAGTTGCATCAGCTCGAACAGGCTGGTTGTTGACAAAATCTTAGCATGGATATGGAAGACCTGTTTAGCATCTACCAATTTGCATCACCTGTGATACCGACTGGCGAGATATCCGACTATCTATCAAAGGAAGAGTACGTTGCACTGCAGTCTATTCTGTCCTGTGAGACATGACTGTTAAAAATAGAAGATTTGAGGAGATTATAGGGTTTTGATCACAGGTGTCTTCTTAGTGTTGGTGGAATCAGCAAGTGAGCAGTGTAGAGGTTAGGTGAAATGTACAAGGCAGGACGGATAATACAGGCGATGAAATTGTTAACCTTCATCGACTGAGGTGGCTTAGACATTTGTTACGCATGCTGATCCATCTTCTACCCAGATGTTCAATGAAAGGAGAAGTTGGACTAGTTTGGAAAAGGGTTCAGCTTGACTATACCGAAACGTAGCACTAATCCATGAAGTCTCTGACTATTGGTTTCAGCCGTGTAGTAAGGGTAGACTGCCTGGATGGGGTCCCCCATACATTGTCAGTCACTAGTCAAGAACTGTTATTAAAGTGGCTGAGAATCGATGACAATGGCGCCAATGTATCGTCTCTCTGAAACCTAAAGATCGGTGTTTTGACTAATCTGTATCCTTATGTTCGTTTTTGCACATACATCTCTAGCTACTTTGATGCCAGTCTTTCCTACCCACTAGTTCTTTGTATGCTGCTGTAAAGTGTAGCAACTGGGACCGATACATAGATAAATGGGTTTCTGACAGTTAGTTATTTTAATGCAATTTTTCGCACCAAAATAACGCATGCGCTAGCTTCACATCGTTCTCAAAGAATAAAGTCTGCATGTCGATTAAAAGTTAAGTAGCAATTAAGTTATGAGCAAGCATTGACTGACCACACCAAGACAGGACAGCAAGCCATTGGTGACGTGGCTGACTGTTGGTAAAGAGGGTTAAACTATTTTGACTGTGATATTCAGAATCAGTCATTAAAGACTATATATGATATACCTCAAGATCAAAGATAGTAGCTAAAGTTTATTAGCTGTCTGTCATTTTTACAATTCTGAAAGCTGTATCCATCATCAATTCTCTACTCTGTTTCCCTTCCTCCATATGTTCTTAACGTCATCCTGTCTCGGTACACTTTTTCTTTTCGCGTTGTTTCAAAGTGTCTGAACCTGAATTCATATGGTTTTCTGCTTGATTCCACGTAATTGCTTAGTAAGCTCTCTATCAATTCCCAAGTAGATAAAAAGGGGTTACTCTTTTTTCCTATATTGTTTTAGAATCGGATTGTTGAAAGTATGCAGCAAATGATGTGGGGAAAATTTAAATGATGATACTAAATTCTTGAAAACTGTATGGAATGACATATTTGTAGAGGTTTCTAAAAGACTGTATATATTATGACGTGTTGGTCGGATCTGTATTGGACCATTAACTGTGCTATCTGGAATGCCTGTCCTTTCAAGGCCTAACATTTTATGTTACTGCTAATACCAACGCTATGACAGAGTTCCTAAGGGGCTGTGATAACAGTAATATGCTTCTCATGAATGAGCAGCAGTACCACAATAATACTACCTTCTCAATGGTCGGGAGGAGGATTAGAAAAGGTCAGGCTAATTAAAAGCGCGCTGTTTCCTGCCTTGAGATATTCTTAGGTCGAATGTATAAGCTTTTATACCCAGGACCAGCTCAATCATATCTCAAACCAAAACTCCAAAAACAGCCGTCTATAACCGAGCTCAGTCACATGTCGTATGGATTCCGTGGTCACACAAAACTAATTCCTTTTCTATTTCATTTGCCTTTCAGAAACAGCTTCTACGTATGTGACGAATATTTGTAGGTCACAGTGTCGGTGTGCGGAATGAGTTTTCTTCTGAGTTGTGGTCTTGGTTGGCAAATGTTTCACTATCATGCTAGACATTATCATCAGCACATCACAGCTTCACAATGAAGTGAAGAAATTGATTGTGCATGGATATTTATAACATACTACTTTTCTCAAGTGTAATTTGTTTGGTCACTTGGTGAATGCGTGGTGAACTTGATTAATTGGCTTTTTGTCTACAGTTTCCTAAGAGGAGTGTGCAACTATTTAGTTGCCTAAATTCCTTTTGTTTGCTTACTGCACACCGAGGTGATTTCAATGTTACTGGTTTATTCCTTTTGTTCGAATGACTTGACGAAAGTTGTCTTCATCTGATTGCTTGATTTGTATACACTGGAGCGTGATACTTTACATCGGTTGGTTGATTTGCTCCAATACAGGAGTCTTCTTTGCTACTTCTGGTTGGTTGAATTTTTCTGAAGAGAGAGATTCTTTTTGAAGTGGTTGCCTGAGTTCAGGAATTAAATGAGTTTTCTGTGAGTTATCTTGATCCTATTGATTGGTGATTCCCTTTTTATTTGCTTAGGGGAGTTGCTTGCATTTGGATCGATTTGTTACAGTGGTTGACTTGTTTTCATTGGGCATGTAGATTGCATCCTAATCGATGTGTTGAGATGAGAGACATTAATCCGCGAGGTATGATAGCCAACTTGTGTTCATAGAGGCGTTTCACTACTGGTCTACTTAACTGTCCCACGTAGTAGTGATCGCCATTATTTCACTTGACTTCGCAGATAATATTTGTTATTTCTTCCTTATTCACTGGGTCTTTTGTTCGCATTGGATATATTGTAGCGACTTTGTTGGTGTATGTGACACTGCAAATCCAAGCCGATGTAGAAATCTGGCTATTGTTGCCGAAATATTCTTAATATATGGGGGGACGATTCTTCTGTTAATTTTTGTAGTCAATTTTGATTTTGTTTCTTGGGAAAGACATCTTTTGATGAGATTCTTTGAATATCCATCGAGTTGGAAAACTCCAAACTAAAGCTTTTTATCAGCTCTCTTTGACTCTGGTGTACAGTAGTATCTGTCTGCTTCTCTAAATAGCGTGGTTATACAGCTTATATTGTGTAACATCAGATTGTTGCTGTTGTTACTGAGGATCTGATTTGCACCAATTGTTTTCATTTAAATTTAAGCTTAAAGATATCCATCATCGCGTTTTGTAATCAAAGTATCAGATAATACCAGCTGTCCTTTATCTTTTCTTCTTTCGTGAATATCATTCCTCTGGAAATATTAGTTATCACTTTTTAAAATAGTGGAGAATATTTGTAACTTAGGTGGATGGTCTTGGTTGTATTGTGTTCTCTGAGCTGGGTTGTTTAATCGTGAAGCTTTCATCGTCCTTCTAGACACATCATCAGCACTTTGGCTAGATTCGTTGCATATCCGCTTCTGAGATAATCATCAGATCATTCAAACAAAAGGATGAACCAGTCACAACGAAGCGATCTCAATGTACTGCAAGAAACCATTTAGTTGCTACTCTTGTGAGCAAATGGAGACAAGATGTCAATTAATCAAGTTCACCCACGCATTCACCAAGTGACCAAACAAATTACACTTGAGAAAAGTAGTATGTTATAAATATCCATGCACAATCAATTTCTTCACTTCATTGTGAAGCTGTGATGTGCTGATGATAATGTCTAGCATGATAGTGAAACATTTGCCAACCAAGACCATAGCTCAAAGAGCAACTTACTCTGAAAAACATCTACTGTTTAATAAGCCAGGACGTGAATACTGCTCCCCAGCTTCCATCAATATGCCGAACGCAATCAACAATAACCTAAACACTTTACTTTTTTCTTCTTCGCTGCTTTCACTTCCGGACTCCAGTGTTAGGCCTCGCACAAATACTTTAACTTCTCATTCTTCAACTGCTGCTAACAATTCAAGTTAGCAAAACACTATTCCTTGACTCTTAAAATCTTGCTTTAGGTTTCACATTGAGGCTTGCAACGTCCAAATCTGATGCAAAGCCTGACAACGAGTTTCTCTTGCAAAAACTTTGGAATCTCGATTTATGAACGTTTCTGAGATACGTATACAAGGCCTGAGTATGGACATGTATGGATCAGCACCTTGCTGGTCGTGGCAGTGAAACTTGTGTGTGCTCAACTGGAAGGTGAGAACCTAAAGTAGGTATTTAATGGGGGGGGGAGAAAGTTAAGTATTAGTCTGAACATGGCAGCAGTTGTCTTTATAATGAAACATGGTTTGACATTCAGTCTGCTGCAGAAACATCAGTAAGGGTATTTGGCAACCTACATTTAAAGGTTAGCAAATGTTTTGTCATAAATATATTTGGTATCATTTGGAATAAATAATTCCAACAATTGGTGTGGTGATGGAAAGCAGTTACGCCCGAAATATTGCCAAAACCAAATGACATCATTGTGTGTAGACATTCATTACAAATATATTTATTATAAATTGATTCTCTCCACAATCCACAAATTTTTCATGGATACAGTCAGCAAACGTCATTCGATTTCTCTAACATAAACCTAACCGGTTGATCCAATAAAACTCACTCCAGATGTCTTCGATCACAATGAAGAGTGAAGGCAGCTCAAATTTAAGTTGGTTGCGAATCTTCGTAACAACCAAGAGCATTTGTAAGTTGCGAAAATGAAGAAGATATTATAATTAATTTTTACTCAAAAGTTATTTTTGCCTGTTAAGGATATTGGCAAGAAGAAAACGATTGTTAGTGAGACCAGGGCCAAAAAGAATTTGCCCCAGATAAAATTTCAGCACAAGCGGCTAAGGTTTTGGATGGAACATTTTATCGTGGAGTTAAACTTGCCCGCAGTAGAGCATCCAGTCCAAAACTGAATGAAATGAAGATGTTGGTCATGTAACGCTCGTTGAAGTTGAGAAGGCTGTTTCAAACCTTAAACATTGAAAAGCAGCTGGAGCTGATAGTTTACTAACAGAATTTTTAAATTAGGGTGGTAATGAATTTATAAGTTGAGTATTGTAGACAACAGTATATAAGAATCATAGATATTGTCGTCTAACTAGTGCACCTCGCTTATCATTATAAAAAAGTCTTTTTGTGACAACTATGGGGGGATCGGTTTGACTAACAACCTGCCCCAGATCCTAAGTTAGCCGATGCCTAAGTAGTGCTTAATAGCCGTGAAATCGAGAAAACCAGGCAGGTTTTAGACATGACTGATGGGTGGTTCATAGATCAGATCTTCACTCTATGATAGGTTTTGAAGTCAAGTCAAAGCTACGACGGTCGACACGTGCCATATTTCTTGACCTGAAGGTGGTCTTTGATTCTGTTTAATTAGATGATGAAGGTCGTGATTTAATTTTAGTCAGCGTTGACATTGGGTAGTGGTCGCATTATGTAGCAAACTGACAGAAGTTGGAAATATGGACCACTGGATTCCGACCTAGTGGATCAATGGTGACGTGCTTGCCACAGAACCTGAAGGTTTTGGGTTCGGTCTCTGGTGGGATCATGGGTGCGCACTGCCAAGGATGTTCATTCTAGAGCAAAACAGATGTCCAGTGCTCCCAGGTTTCCAATATCCTTCCAACTGATGTCAGTCCATGATGAATATCAACTTATTATTTAGTTTAGTCAACGAGTGAATAGTTGAAAATGTTATATATTGGTTGTATGATTTACTCTATTCCCGTACAAATGTCTTTACAGTTATTCGACAGATTGTGAAATGCCGTCAACATTTAATCAAGTTATCCTGATAAGTCCATTACCTCCAACAAGACAAACACTGGCTGCACTCGATGCCTTCAGTTTGGTTTCTCAGAAGGATTGGCATCATAACTATCGGGTTAATCATCATCACCATCAACAAAAGAAACCTTATGATAGCGAAGAAACATCACAAAGATCTCCAGAAATATTGCCATCAAGTAACCAATCAACTTCTTTTCATCCTCACCACCAGCCTCATCAACCTCTTCCTCTTCACAATGATGAAACATTATCATCTGTCACTACATTAGTCTTATCTAATGTAGGAAAACATGAAGGCTCAAACCAAACATTTACAACAAAACATATCACATCAGCTACTCTCTCTTCAGGAATCAGTATCTTCCCATATTTGACATTAATGTGGAAAGTATCACCTGAAATAATGAAAATGAATAATTTATGTAAGAAAAGTTATTTATAGTTGTGTTAAATTTTCTGCTTTTTTTTAATGAACAAGGTAACTGTGATATACACCTCATTTACCCATGAGAAAAGTATTATTCACAAACTTTTCTGGTATATTCATCAAAATCAGTCAGTCCTTAAGATCCCACGACTTAATTACCGTTGGTTACCTATTATTGACAAGTGTCGAGATGGATTTGCCGAAATTTCAATGAGAAGCTGTAACCTGTATGTTCTTTCAAGTGGGATATGAAGACAAGAACTTGCCAATGGCATCAGATGATAGTCATCTTATGTCGCGAGTTGACAAGTAGGTAAACCTGGACTATCGGATCCCAATCCACGGGCTAGATTTTCATGTGCTGACTAAGGAATCCAACGGTTCTAAGTCCAGTTCGCTGAGCAGTTATGGATATGAACTTCTGAGGAGTTTCATACTGGGATGAAACAGTTATACATTGCTCACAGGCTTTCAGTTGTTCTTGAACTGATATTAGTCTGCAGTAGATACTACCTTCTACACACTTGCTTTATAGAAGTGTAGATGTATCTTACTGAATTAAGAATTCAGTTCTCAACAATGACACGGGTTTGAATAGCTTATTAGTTTAAGGAGTTAACTTTTAACCGATGGGTTGTGGTTACAAACATCACTCTGCCTACCTAGGTTAGGGAAAGCCAGGTAGTATCACTAACCCTAGGTGTGGCTCATTGCCTATTGCATGAATGTGCATAAGGCTGCTGGATGGCTTGCGTTTCGTCCAAACCACACTATGCCAACTTCGGTATAGGCAACTGGGTAGTGTTAGAAGTCTTCAAATAATAAGCGTTGGTTATAACCTACCAGATAAACGTGTACCGGTTAGAATTGCGGATTTTGTTATCACACCTAATAAAAATGTATGCTGTTGTCGAACTACTATTCTTTCTGTTTTCGAAAGCTGACCTATTTGTGAAGTCAGATTTTAAGGTCTTAGTGCTGAAATTCTTATCGATCTACATATATCTGTACGTCTTCAATAAAACAGTAAAAAAGCAGGAACATTGCTAACATGAGTCGTCGTCAATTTTTATAAGTATACTAGTATATATATATATATATATTAGTAATACAACTCAATCTTCAGGTTATAATAACTTCATCAACATAAAAACTTGTCATATCCTCAGTTTGATGGTTTGGTCAGTGTTCTGATCTTAATCTTGGTTTGGGTTTCCTATTTGGTCTTATGATTAACGAACTGAGGGAAATATACAACGCTGGTCCACGAATTACTATGTACGAGTTGATTCTACAGACACTTGCTCCATATCAACTGACTCAGATGATTGACGAATTTAGCCCACACAGTTATTTGTATTTAGTAGCATATATCTAAAGTATACACGCCCTTAAAGCGTAAGCTACCTAACCACAGTGTCAATGAGAACAAAGATAGACACATGAAGGACATCTATAATTGACTGGGTGTGGCTCTCGTCCTTTTTGAGTACGGATATCACAAAATTCATTTTCCTTACAAACTTATTTGAGCTAAATCATTGGTTGGAATATTAGAAATAATTGATGAATTTTTCTTCCGTCCACTAAGTAATAGATGTGGAAAATAAGCTCAGAGCTTTAATCAACAAAACTAAGTCATTCTACGAGGTTATTGTCATAGTTTGAAAAAGACTGCCGAAATTTCTATAAGTAGCCACAAATTCCTGAAGCCTTCTACAACCTATGGCTTTGCTCCAAAGTTTCGCGAAAAAGCACCGGTTAATGAGTTTGATCTTGGCTAGATGGTATTCAGGAAAAGGTATAGAACATATCCAGGCTGTTGAAAACACATAAACCTTTACTTTTTGTACGTGTTCAACTTGACAATAAACTTCTTATCGTTTTGGCTCTTCTTTCTGTTTTTGGGGAACCGAGTGACACTCGATGGTGAAACCTAAGGTAATTGTCAAAGAGCACGCTCATATATATACAACAAGATTATATAAGTTTTGAACCTCCGTCAGCCGAAATAGTATGGACCTATACCACACTGACAAGTAATCACGTACTTCAACTTGAAGATGATTCATTTTATCTGACATAAAGAGCTTTTATTCAAGCATACTCGGATTAACAAGCGAATTCGCCTTTCATAAAAAATATTTACAATTGAGCGATATAGATTGCTATCAACCTTCCGTAGCATCTTGATGTAGGGAATAGTCTGTCGGTAGAAGATAAATGAAATCTTAAAATAATCTTCTTAAAGGTTTTATGATAACGTTGAAATGACAAGCTAACTGAAAGAACATGGTAATATAAGAAAAGAATTTGGATACTATGTTCTATTGTATTTTCGCCACCTTTGTCTAATCATATAACTAGGTATTCTTTAAGGTGCTCATAGAGAACTCTCATTATTCAGTTAAAGAAACTGACTTCATAGAAGCATACTTCCATCAAATGGAAAACTTTTAGAATGAGACGACAGTTATTTCTTCCAAATAAGAGGATATTCTGCCATTTCCAACCACCAACTTATATCGAGTTAAGTTCAAAACTGTTAAGTTTTTCGACATGCATGTAGTCACCCACCCACTGATACTGGTATCCATCTGAGATAAAAGCTATAGGCATGTTCTAAACATCAGTTTATCATCCCCTAGTTCCTATTCATTCTTTTTCTTATTGTCAATCATTAGTGCAAGGTATTTCAAAACTCATATATCTCTTCTGTTAACTTATTCCCTATGACTGAATGGGTAGATAATTTAAAACAAGCGCCCAGGGTATTCATTAATCTCTACTTCTAATTACGTTCAAACAAAAATACGCCTATCCAGTGCACATTTCAATTAAATGATAATAATTCATGCGGAACTCGTCTAAAAATTATTTATCATTGTAATATTATACTTTTTGAAGCGATTATTTTATAGTTGATTACGCTACATTGTTCTATAGAAGATATATTCAATTATCAACATCACTATTGTTTCATTCTATCTAGTTGTTTGTTTGTTCTTCACTGGAAAACAAACTTTTACCAAATTTACATTGTACAATTAAGGTTTTTATTCATTTTTTCAAGTGTCCTATTTTCGGTTCACATACATTAATGTTGCTTACTGTACAGTAACGATGTTTCAAAACAAATCATTGGAAATTGTATATTTTTACGCAAGATGCGATAAGCATCACTTAACATTCCTCCATATCCTTTTTTTTGCTTCTCCATCAAGAAATGCAATAAAATACGCTTTGGATGGACTAAAATTTGGACAATAATTTGTTTAAATTGATTAAGTCATTTCATTGTGATGTTGTGGACAACTTACTAATCGATAGGTTGATACTAGTTTGTTAGAGTCCAATTAACCAGTGATGAATTTAATTTTTCTAGCAGTACCCATTGATCTATTGGTCTAGATCGAAATGTTTTTTTTGACAAATCAAAATCTTTCATTTTAAATTTATTGAGTTTATTTGTTCATTAGAAATAATAAAACCTGACAAGTTTTCCATCTTACTACTTACTAAATGATAAGAGTAGTTTGTATTAACTCGGGAGTTCATCAGCACGTTACCTAATTACAGACAGATCGTTTTAAAACAAATCACAGAACCTAATTTTACTGCCTGTTTGTTTAAGCTAACACATTCATCGTCGTCATCGTCAAATCTCAAAGTCTTAGAATAAGAATAAGAGAGTATCAATGAAAAAAATTTTTATCGACGATTTCATTGACGAAAGCCACATAACCGACTTATATGTTTTTCGGAAATAAATAAGTCTAGTAATAATGCATATCGCCAAGTAATTAGCAGTATAGTGTTCAAGAGTTGAATGGAAATTTTCTTTCTTAAGACAGAGGGAAATTAGTACTCTGGCCACGGCAAGGCTAACATTTACATGCAATGTTTTTGGAACAAAAGAATCAAGTTTAAGATTGGCAACTGTAAATGATTTTTCAATGAATAGATGAAGTAGTCGAAATCATTTGGAATTACAGAGAGACATCTTGTAGGAATCGTTGTCCAAACCATAAATACCCGAATTTTTGAAAAGTAAAACGTCATGCACTGAATCGTATTGATGCCAAGCACTCCCGTTTACAGAATATAAATGTCAATATCTATCACAAAGAACTCACGCAACGACTGAAGAGCGTGACAGATGTGAAAAATACTTATCTAATACCGTAAATGAATATGGGTAGTTCTTCTAAGGTCAATCTCAAAGCAAAAGTCAACTAACTAGGAGGACAGACGAATGAGAATAATTTCATCAAAAGGTAGAGCAAATAAGGAAGAGTGTGTAATCTAAATATTAAGATGAAAAGGTGTGAGTGAACTTTATATGCCGTGATCGATTATAAGCCATATCAGACAGTTTCCAACCACTTTGGGTTGCCTGATTTTCTTCTTTTACCCAATACTCTACATGCAATCTCCAGACTGCTCATAAAGTGGTTCCACCTCACTTAAACCTTGGCTGCGAAGTCATTGATTTTAAAACACCTGAAGCTTTCCTAAATCCTCCACATTCAATGTCTGTGATCCACGTCATTTACAGAAACAGAAAGGACTACTACATAGGACAATCGACTCTAATAAGCAGTACCATACTACGTTCCAGTCAAAGTGCCATGATCCAGCAAAATCATATTTATCCTTTTACATCAGCGTTAACCACTTTGCATACCCTGCAGCCTTTAATAACCCTTATCAGCTGCTTGCTAACGAAATCTCAGCTCAGAAACAAAAAGCTTGTTTCAGATTTGTAAACTGACATCACCCATCTCTTGCACATGTGAAATATTTGGCCATGTATCAGGGAACCAGCTTACTGCGTAGTAGTCTACACCTTTTTTTACGAACGTAAGATATGACTAGTGAAAATACAGGACATTGGAAGATTACGAATTATTTTTTAGATGTCTTCTTAGCATCGTTTGCATGTAACAGGACCTTTACTTTAAAAATTACTGACTATTTAAGCAGTTTATAGGTAAATAGCTTATCACCGCCTTACCAATGTTTTCTCATGGTAAGAACCATAATTAATAATTATTTAATCTGTGTTTCATCCTTACCCTTCATCTTTATCATATTAGTGAACAAAGTAATCCATACAAAGTTGATTCATTTCTTTACTGGAACCAACTATATCAATAAAGAAATGTATTAAACAACTTGCAGAGCTTCAGAGTACTCAGAAACTTACCCCGTTCGCTTCATGTTTGCCAATTCATATAGCGTCACTATATTGAGGACAAAAAACACTACTTGTGAATTATCATATTTCATCAAGGTTCTCTAAGTAAAACACTTTCCATAAAAATGTTATTTTTCACACTTTCGTGTTCCATAGACAAAGAGAATCACATGAAATCTTTCATAAAAATGTATCAGATAATCATGCATTAAAACGCTGTTACACAAGTCCCATTGGTGTGATTCTGAATATTACTACTGAGACTGAATATATTTTTATCTAAATGAAGTCCGAGATAAGCAAGGTGCCACATCAATCCTAGAGTGTCATTTTAATGGATGGTTTTTGTAACAGCTGATAAGTTTGAATCACTTATTCAGTAGGCTATGAAACCCCAGATATAAATAACCCAACTACTACATACTTCAGTTGTCTTTGTGTACTACTGTAAATTGTGGAAAGTTGAGCTGATGGACTTCTTTGTTGACTTTGTCAGTCAAGATACCCCGTCTCATTTTCACTGTTTAGATAGTTACTGTGCACTTTTTACAACAAGATGATCTTCTTACGCTACTGTGAATATGGTGCAGAGTCAATAGAGTTTCTTATGAAAATCGTGAATCAATTTTCATCAATGCAGACCATTACTAGCAGACTTTGGTATCATTTTACCGTAATCTTCTTACTACGTAATCTATACCCAATGAATTATATTTCTTAGTTAAATCAAAAGTGTAGCTTAAATCTATCTGATCTTCAAATCATTTATTTAGATGAAGTAAACATCATCTAATTTGAAATTCTATTCTCATAAAAACTTTTTACTACCATTTATGTATATGATAATATGTTATTTCCTTAGAAAAAAAGTACATAAGTAATCTTTTACTGTTCTTTTATTGTCTTACCTTTTCATATTGGCGTCAATTTCATGTAAATTTGTGTGTTTGATTTAAAGTTCACATAAAGTATAAAAAAGAGTAAATTATTCAAATGAGGCCAGTTAAAACAAAATCTTTAATTTAATATGCATAGCATAATACTCCTATTTCAAATAATTGAAGCCTAATATCATGTTCATTTTATTTTCTATTTAGCTTCAATATTTGAACAAACTGTTTCATTGTGTACAATTAATTTATGTGATAGTGATCAGTTAAATTCTAATGAAAATCTATTGTCAACCTCAGAATTTCTTCATCTGGAACCTGAATATAAAATAAATGACTTAAAAATATATCAGCATCCCAATGGGATTACTTTATATGGAAGTTCAGGTACACTAAGTTATATGAACGCTTTGAAACATGTTCAATGGTTTTATAAAGATGAAAGTACTCCTCCTCCCAGTAAACGTTGTTTTAATGCATCGTGTAAGGCGGTAGTTCAAACCTCCAAAACAGATCAAAGTCCAATGAAAATCAATAGTAATTCTATCCAGTCTGAAGTAAGTAACTATATTACTTCTAATCTATTACTTAAACTTGTAACTGTTGTTTTTTGAACAGATTTCATTTGGATACAGAAGATTTTATCTCTTATTGGTTATCACAGTTTTTTTAATAATCGTTAAAATACTTTATATAAAAAGTTACACTAACAACGATGTCTAACCCAGCACCAAGACATTTATTTGTCAAACGTCACACTGCAACAATAACTACCTGAAGTTTCAAATAAACATGTCAGTTAGCCGATATCAAAAGAGCCCATGGCAATACAACATTACTTTCCAGATTGACATACCTGGAATGACTACATCAAGATATAAGGCAATAAGAAAGACAGAGAAATAGAAGGAAGAATTTATAGTCAGAAGTCGTAAGTGCTTCGTGGCTAAGAAACCAGAAACTAGGATGAAAAAAACTGTTCAGTACTCCCATGATTTCAGCTGTTCTCTGATTGATGCCTATTCGCGACATAAATTCTGTTGCAATGTATTTTCGTTCTCTAGCTATATAGAAATAGTAAGAATTCCTAAAAATTATGACATCATGGGTCATTTTAATGCAACAAATACTCGACTCTCTCACCTTGATGAAGGTTAAATATGCAATATCAAATGAAGACCAACATAATTCTTTCATATGAAAAATTTCCATTGATATTGTGATTATATATAGGGAAAACGTCCTGGTACTACTATTAGCAGCAAGGTGAATTGGTGACTTCTCTACTCTCAATGGAAATTGGGCACAAAACTGATTTTGACTAGGTCGAAATGCCACAAAAATGTTTTGTATCGCACAAAGAAAGTGTGGTTGCTGAAATCCTTGAGGATGACTTCTGAAATGACTTTCATCATCAGTCTAAATTGATGACCTTTTCATGAATAACACCGCATCGTATGAACTGATTTAGTGTATTCTTACCATTGTTCATCCCTGCAATGAAAACTTATTCGTATAAATTCATGTCAACAGTAATATATGGATTGATTACTGGAAGATAACTAAATTCATGTTGTCGAGTTTTCAGTGCTAACCAAATGCGATGAATCATTTCGTAATTTAGCCACCAGGCTAGGAGACTTAGCATAACCATGTACTGTGATTAGTGTTTAATTGGTTGGAGACGATTAGCAGGAAGCTCCAGACCCCTAAGTTTCGGACTTCTTGGTACTGGTCAGTAAGACGTGTCTCAACTGATTTCTTTGTGAGATAAGAACCTGCATCATCAATTGATGCAGTCATAGACGTTACGCCACTGAGCTACTTGGGCTACGATCGGCCTTCTGAAGGACTGAATTCCTTGCATTGATTGGTCATTCGAGAGAAACCAATTTGATGTTGTTTAGTCCTGAGTGCTAATCAAATCCTATCGATAGTTTTGCAATGCGGTTACCAAGCTGATTGCCTGAAGCATTCTAACAACAAATATTAGTGACATGAATGTTCATGTTATATGCTGCAAATCATATGCACACAGAAATACATAACTACCATGATCTCCTTTATGACCTCCTGTCCTATATATTCTGTGACGAATAAAATGAACAACTCTGTATATATTAATATTTTACCAAACAAAATAGATGTAATTTCACGCTGAATGACTAGTAATTATACTATGAATATAATGACTAATATGATTAGACAAGAAGATAAAATACACATATTTCACCCCATTCATATATTTTAAGGTAGTATTCAACACGGAAAACTATCGAAAACCTGAGAACACTGGGCAACTGTTTTATCCTAGTATGGAACTCTTCAGCAGTAGACATCCAAGACCCTCCTATTCATTGAACCCAAGACCTTCTGGTTTGGTGGCGAATCTGTTAACCCTCCAGCCACTGTATCAGAGTTCAATGGTCCACAGTGTGTACTGCTGAGGAGTAGTATACTAGGTTTTCAGTGGTTCTGTAACTGATATCACTTCCTGACGAATACTACTTTTTAATAAGTAAAAACCCCATTAGCCTCGAACTTAATTATTCACTAAGTTTGATATTTTCATTTCGATTATTTTGCTGAAGAAACTCAGACCAAACTTCCAGGTAAAAAGATAGGATTATTTAATGCCTTTCCTGCTGACGATTATGCAAGTATAACTTAGGTAACGCCTAGCTGCAAAATATTTTTTAATAAGATTATGGTATTTAATTTCAGCTTTGTATGGCAGTGTGATATAAATGATTCATTTTGTAATGTAATTCGAAATGAGACTGACCGTCAATTAACTTCTGTTGTGGTTTCCCAACTTCAATGAATAATCGTTTCCCTCCAATGCCTCAGTTGATGTCTAGGTATCGTGTACTGTATTTACTGAACACATAGTGGATCCTCTGTGTTTTGTAGAGATTTAAATACCGTCCTGTATCAGTAGGGTTCCTTTAAATACATGATTTTATTGAACCATCTCCCCTCCAACTCAGAATTGTGCTCAAGAATGACAAACATTTGTACTTTTCGTCTTCAAAAAGATAGATAGATGTGATCTTTCAAGATAATAGGGTTTCTGAGAGGTAGAATGTGTCCCATGCTTGTCACATCCTGTAATTGCTCATTTAGCATAATTATTATGAAAAGTAATTCAAGTAATCTGATCACCAATCAAACTTTCAACATCTATAACGTAGATATCTACTAACAGTGGTCTTAAGGACATCCAGTTGCCATACTATGAACTTGTCACAAATATCCACCTTCAGACACACTGAAGGATTGAGAGAAAAAAAAATTACTGAAGTATGTGTAATTATCAGGAATGTTAATGTCTTTGGCTAAAGTCATTTAAGGAAATTGGCAGAAACTGAGATTACAGGAATACACAGTTTTTTCTCTAATATTCATATCAGTAAGTTGATCAAGAAGTTCAGAAATATTTTTCACAGAAAGCCCACAAAATTCATTTGTTTATCTATATAAACAATTACGTTACTTCCTTTTACATTCAATAATTTAAATGTATGTGAAAACAAACAGGCAGAATTCAGTAAGATGTGTACTTGATTCTGATCGGAAATGTTTTAACCATCTACTTAAGTAGACAGGTTCTTAACAGTTGATAAGTGCGGTAGCAGGCTTTCATAGCTATTCATCACAAAACATACTACTTATGTATGATTTTGGTTGATATTAAAGTTTAGGTGTATCCTCAGATTCGCTGCAATCTAAACTTCACTCAAATTTAAGATCCGTTCACTTTTGTATCCAAAGGACAGTTTATTCTTAAACTAATCCAAATGATATTTTTTTAATGCATCTTATTATGAAGGTTGCTTCTAAAAGGTATTCATCCCACTTCATTGCTTTTCTTGTCCTCATTATAATTCTTGTTTTATTTGACTTTCTTCCGTTTGCATTACCTTGACAGGTAAGTGCGTGTTCAGATTGTTCGGAATGTATACCGCAAATAAATTGCATCTTAGGTTTACACCGTCTTTATTCATGACATGGCGCACTGGGTTAAAGATACTTAGGTTGCCATCAATAGGTACCTCGATGGATGAGGTCCGAGAAATCAGTCAACTCAGTAACTTGGGATAATACTAGGCATGACTCAGAACCGAAGATAGTGACAATGAGGCTGCTGTTTTCTTGTTTCTCTTATTACTGAAAGTAAAGCGAAAGTGGTAAAAGCTTCTTGAGATGTATCTTTGAGACTGCTCCTTCACAAATTCGATTTTGTTTTTGTTTCCATCCACCCTTTCATTTTCATTACTTTTCTAATGTTGCTTTCTTATTTTATATATTTCACCTTATGGCAATCGTGTTGTACCAAGTTTGATCTAGTTATAAGAATAATATTCATGGGAGTAGTAAATTGTTTCAAGGTATTGGATATCATTTGTATGTGTTACCACTCAGGCATATCTTCACTCACCTCCAGTAATAGATCCCAATCTCTTCTGTTCGTCTATGAGAGTCTATACTCGTAAACTGATGAAGGCAGTTAAATATGATGTAGTCTTTTAATTGTGTCGCTTTAAATTGCATTTCAGCATGAACCTTGCTCTCGCAGTTATGATAATCTCAGCTGTATGTTCTTTTATTCTAATTGTTAATCTAAGCGTTTGCTTCATATTATATCACTTCCATTATCCAGTAAATTTCTATATAAATTCCTTCTATACTTAGGGCATAAGTCTTTAGGCTATACCTCGTTTACGCTTATTCGTAGATTTCAATAGATATTCACTCAGTAAAAGTGTTACTTCTTTTTTCTAACTACCTTCCTTTCAAATACATTCAATAATTCTTCGTACTTTTTCAGTTTTTTGTCATATTAAAGACTAAAATTTTGGATAGCTTCTGTAGTAATGTACCAAAAGTATTCAAAGTACACCACTTGATTTCAGATACTAAATTTAAGTCGTGAGACTAACAGTAACAATCGAAAAAAATTCATATTCCTACTATTTGACTAATTGTTTTTAACTACTAATCTGTTAGTCAGTCACAACATGGTTTTTGGCATCCACTTTTGTTTGGAGGGGAGGATCACCTTTACCATCTATTTACAATCTTCATGCTTTTGATAAAACAGTAAAATGTTGTTTGAAATAACATCATCTCAATTGTTTTTCCTAACAAACCATCCAAACAAGTTTATCTTTCCTCTTGAAACTGTTATTTCTATTATGTATACATAGAATCCTTCTAAAGATGAAATCAAACTTTCTAAACACATTTTCTGGTTAAATGTTCTATGCTAGTCTTTCAGTGTGCAGTACTCTATAAGTGACTTTAAAGGCCACCCTGGCAACTGCTAAGATAACCAATTAAGCTTGTATATTTTATGAAAAACTACCTTTCTGGTCGAAATACTGAAACTTGATTGGCTATTATGGCTGTTGCCAGGGTGTTCTTTAAAGTCACCCATACTGTGTCAGTATAACAAATCCTATTGTTCTATCAAGAAATAAGACGTTTTGAAAATAAATTTAACATATGGAAAAGTGCGTTAAAGTTATACAGACAGACCATAAATTATTTATAA